GCTCCCAGGCATGCATGCTTCCAGGTACGGCCCCGTGAAATTTTTTAGTGGGAAAACGGCTAACTTGGGGACCAGGGGAGTTTGGAAGCTAAAATTTTAAGGGGGTGTTCACAACCCACGTGCAACTTAAAGATTTCAGACCCAGCTTCCAGCTATGCCCCAGGTCATGTGTGGCCCCATGAAGGCTTTGGCGGGAAAATTGCTAAATCGGGGACCAGAAGAGCTGGAAAGCTGAGATTTTAGGAGAATATTCCCCATTCAAATTCAACTTAAAGATTTCAAATTCAGTCTCCAGGTGCGCGTGATTCTCGTGTACGGGCACTCAAATTTTTGGCGGAAAATTTCTCATTGTATAGCCGGAACTTTTCATATACAACAGCTAAACAGAAATTGTTTATTTTCGCTCATGCAAAATTTACGAAGATTTACGGCGTTGAGCGCACAAGGTAGGTGTGAAGAAACAATCATTCATGCAGTTAACCTAATTAGTTCAAGTTCGGTGCAAAAATGCATGATCGCTCCGGCTCGCCTGGTGTTTTTTGTTCGCTATTTAGACATTTACTGCAGTTCTAAATGAATGCACATAGGAGACAATTCTCTTCCTGAAGGCATGTGTAAATTTGTCATATTTTTTCTGGTCTCGTAAATTTCAGCTTTTTTTTTATAATTTTTTTTTTACTTTTCTATAATTTTAAGTGCCTGTAAATAAACTTGAAAAAATGAATTAGGCGCTGATGCGTCAGCGAATGAATAGATCAGTTTTAATTGCCATAAGTTTAATTAAACGGGGGCAGTACGAGTATGATCCAAGTTTCACTTTGTGCTAACGAGTACTCATTTCTACTGCCGCATCACTCCTAACGGTATGACAAGAGAAGCACTAGAGCGATGTGTTTTAGTATGCGGATAAAAACGAGGATGGCCATATCGACAAAAAAGAAGCACAACAAATAGCTTTCGAGCAAGAGGGCATCAGCGCCGGAGATGTCAACGAAATGGTGATGTCCGTCGACGATAACAATGATGGTGAATTAAACGCTCCGGAATTCGCCGATTTCGAACGAATCGTTCGAGCGAGAGCCGTTGACACTTCTAAGAAAGCGCTTAAGGTATTGAGGTTTTATAAGAATTAATCGGTATTAAATAACAAAGGCTGGAAAAAACTTATGGCGACGGAATCGTGACTGCGAGTGTAGCGTTTTAATACGACTTTTTTTTCCAGTTGTAAAATAATGTGAGTTCTTTATTTCATTTCTCAATGAAGTAAAACTTTTGTTTAGCATAAGGAATAAAAAACGCCAATTAAACTTGTGCAGGCTGCTGACATGAAACTCTCAGTGTTGCTAAGATGTTGGGCGCAGCGTGCTAGGATGACTTCACTCCTCCAGCTGTCTTCCGGGATAATAAATGAGAAACAATTTGCAGGTTGTAGATCGCGATGGTTCCGGGACAATAACGATGGATGAGGCAAAACGAATAGCATTCGATCACTATGGATTCGATGAAAAAATTCTTGGGCCATTTTTCGCACAAGCCGATGAAAATGAAGATGGACAACTGGATGCAGTGGAGTTTGCCGGATTTCGGTCGGTAATCCGAAATAAAGCCGTCAAAAATGCTATCGAAGTTATGCAGGTCGCTCACACACAATTATTTAACAATTATTCGTGTATACAAAGTGAAGCAGAGGTCCTTCAAATACAGAATTATAACGTTCAAGCATCGACTCTTTTTAACACAGTCCATACTTTTAGTTGCGTTACAACAAGCAGTTCTGAGCGTCACAGCTGTGCAGAAAAGCGAAAGACGAGTAAAAGCGCTGATGGAAACTGCTTACAAGAGGAGGGGGACGCTTTTAATGAATGGCAAGGGGTAGCAGCATTTTTTTTTT